TTTTTGAGCTTATTGTAATATTGTATCAGGTGAGACAACTAAATAAGTTTAGGGAAAATGACCTTTGAGGGTAATAAAGTATTCGTCTTGTATTCATTAGGTCCCTTATCTTTTTTTGTCTTTATTATACCATTTAACTTATAATCTCTGCTCACCAAAACCCTTGAAACCGGTTATCACATGTTTTACCGGTTACCACATTTAATTAGAGATGACATGTCTTATTACGTGGAATTAGAACACATTTAATTACCGTTTCTCTTCTCCCCTTTGTCCTTACAGTTAGGTTTTCATTTAATTGAGGGAAGAAAAAGTTCAATCAAAGCATACGGTTAGGAAATTGAAGAGAACTGGTGAATGCGAGTGTTATAGTGAAGAAGATGGCCTCCGATTCCAAACAAAGTAAGTATTTAACAGTTTATTTACATTATAATGGTTTATTCGCACCAAAACCATTAGTGTACTTGAACGCTGTTGTTGTTTCAATCTGTGATGTCGATTTTGGTGCAATGGATTTCAAAGACTTTAACTTGTTCATTGCAAAGTTGATTGAAGGCAGTTGTGATAATGTATATTATTGCACTAGAAATGAACCGTTGGCAGAGGGTATTAGGAGAATTAGGAATGATGCTGACTACTTTGAGTTTATTGAAACGGGTTATAGTGATGAAGCCGGTCTAAGAATGAATGTGTATATAGACCAGAAAATGAACCTGTACTTGATTGGGCTGATATGGGATGATGATGAAGGGCATTATTCTGAGGAAGACCTGGATGATGATAAAGATTCACAACTTTCTGATGATATTCCATATGAGCATGAAGCAGATGATTACATTCCTTCTCTTGACAAGACTATTGGTGATGAATTCTTACATCGGGTGTCAGGTATGTGTAAGGATATAAATGATGAGGCTGAAACTGATGAGGTTGAAACCAAGAATGGAGATGACAAACCAGTGTACCCTGTCCATAATGAGAACCAGAAATGGGACAAAATGGTGCCAATTCTAGGTATGAGATTCTCTAACCCCATGGAATTGAAAAATTGTTTGACTAACTATGCAGTGAAGAATGGGTACAACCTTTATTTTGAGAAAAATGATAGTCAGAGGTTATTAGTGAGATGTTGTAAAGAGAACAAGAACCCCTCTTGTCCTTTTAGACTGTGGGCTTCCTGGATGAGCAGTGAAAGGTCTTTCCAAATTAAGTCATTAGTTGATGAACATAACTGTTCAAGAGTCTTCAAACTTGGTTCCATTGTAACATATAAATGGATTGGAATGCATTTTAAGAATCAACTTGTGAAGAACCCTAAAATGAGCATAAGGAAATGAAGGCCAAAGTGAGTACAAAGTTTAACTTGATTGTTAGTGTCACTCAATGTAGAAATGCTAGGAGATATGCTTTGGATGAGATAGAGGGTAGTTTGATAGAACATTATGGTAAAGTATGGAGTTATGGAGAAGAAATAATGAGGACAAATCCTGGTTCAACAGTAAAGATAGATGTGAATGTCATGCCTGATTCCACAACCTACTTTTCTAAAATGTATGTTTGTTTTAAGGGTGTGAAGGATGGTTGGATTGCAGCATGTAGGAGGGTAATAGGGGTAGATGGTTGTTTTTTAAAGGGTATATGTAGAGGCCAACTGTTAGCAGCTATGGGTAGGGATGCAAACAACCACATCTTCCCTATTGCATGGGCTGTGGTGGAAGTTGAAAATAAGGAAACATGGAAATGGTTTCTTGACCTCCTTCTGGATGACATTGAAATGGGAATTGGTCATGGATTGACCCTCATATCAGACCAACACAAGGTATATTTCTGTTTTGTTTTGTTTAAGTTGAATGTTTTTGTTATGTCATTATTTCATGCTTTCTTTCAGGGATTAATAGAGGCTGTCAAAGAAAGGGTTCCAGCAGCAGAGCATAGACAATGTGCTAGGCACATCTATGCTAACTTCAAGAAAAGTTTCAAAGGTGAACAATATAGGAAGTTGTTTTGGGCAGCAGCTGCTAGTACTACTCAACCAAAATTTGAGGCAGAAATGAATTCCATAAAAAAAATTGACCTTTGGCTTATGAACACCTCATGGAAAGGGACCCTAAAAGTTGGTGCAGGGCATTCTTTGAAGTGGACAGGGCTTGTGATGCTTATGAGAATGGCATATCAGAAAGTTTCAACTCTGTTATTGATCTTGCTAGGAAAAGGCCACTCATCACCATGTTGGAAGAGATAAGGATTTATGCAATGGAGAGGATGTATAAAATGTTGCAAGAGGGAAAAGTTGGGGGAATTTAAAAATATGTCCATCTATAAGGTTGAAGATATCAAAGCTAAAGAAACAGCAAAGGTATGATATAACTTCTATTTTATAAATATTATATGTCTCATCTATAAGATTAATAGAACTTCTTATTTTTTTGGGCAGATTTTGGGGTGTTATACCATCTGGGATACAACAATATGAAGTTAGGATTGGAAATGATGGATATGCTGTGGACCTTAACAACAACACATGTGGATGTAGATCTTGGCAAGTATCAGATATCCCATGTGTGCATGCAGTGGCAGCCATTTCATACCTCAACAGGAATGCAGAGGATTATGTTGCACCATGGTTCCATACAGCCATGTTCTTGACTTGTTACAACCATACCATTAACCCACTTAATGGTAGTTCCATGTGGCCTGAAGCTCCCTACATGAAGCCATTGCCTCCTCAAAAAAGAAGGTTACCAGGAAGGCCAACCCTTAAAAGGAAAAAAGATCAATCTGAGATGGAAAGCAAGGGGAAAACAAGGCATACTATCTCAAAAGCATGTTTAGTTAATAGATGCACTATTTGTAGAGAAAGAGGCCACAATAGATCAACATGTCCTACTAGACCAGCAGATGTAGCATCCACTTCAAGGCCAAAAAACAAGAAACCTAAAAATGTAAAAAAAGAGAAAGGTATGCTATTAAAACAATATAATTTAAATGGAACATCCAACTCATTAACTTCATATTTGTATAGCAGGTAAAGTGGAACCAGTTCAAGTGGATCCAGTTCAAGCAGATCTAGTGGATCCAGTTCAAGTACCAGCTCCACAGGTTGATCCAGTTCAAGCAGATCTAGTGGATCCAGTTGATGTACCAGCTCCACATGTTGAACCAGTTCAAGTAGATGATCCACATCCAGATGTTGATGTCCCTGCTCAACCAGTTGCAACTAGGCAGAGGATACGAAAATACTCAGAAAGAATTACCAAGATAGGGTTGAGGAGGAAGGTTTTGAAGAAAGAAGGAAGCACTGGACACAACCCAATGGTGTTGGAATGATTTTATTTGGAAAGACAAACTTTTAGTCTTGTAATTATGTAATTGGGAAAACTTTAAGAATCATGGCACATGGCACATCTTTTGCACATATTAGGACAACTGTGGGCACAGCTTTTGTAATAGTGCACATGCTGATGGAATATTACAACTTTGTCTTTTATTTATATGCTTTGGTGTACGCTTATTTGCATATAGATTGTTTAATCTTATATTATCTATCATAAATCAAGTAAATTTAGTATTAATACATTAAGCAATGTTTGATGTTGTTGTTGTTAATCTGGACCATTTTACCCTTGGATCACATCAACACAATAACAATTGATTACTACCAAATTTAATCTGGACCATTTTACCCTTGGATCACATCAAGACATTAACAATTGATTAATGCCAAGATTTAGTCTTAATACATTAAGAAATGTTTGATGTATCAAATGTGGTTAATCTGGACCATTTTACCCTTGGATCCCATCAACACAATAACAATTGATTACTGCCAAATTTAATCTGGACCATTTTACCCTTGGATCACATCAAGACATTAACAATTGATTAATGCCAAGATTTAGTCTTAATACATTAATAAATATTTGATGTATCCAATGTGGTTAATCTGGACCATTTTACCCTTATATCACATCAACACAATAACAATTGATTACTGCCAAATTTAATCTGGACCATTTTACCCTTGGATCATGTCCAATTCATTAACCTTTTAAACAAATTAATACTTCTTGGAAAGCACTCAAAACATCAAACTATCATTACTCAAAAATATTTAGTCATAATACATCAAACAAATTACAACATTAAGGATTACATTTAGTCTTTGAATACAGCTAAACTAAGGGTTAAATTAAGGGCTAAACTACTTCTTAAACACAAACAACAGAAACAACACAATCATCACAACTTTATGAGTAAATAGCTTCCATTTGAGTTTTTCAAACTCTTGTCTAAAAACCAAAATTTCTTGTTCCATCTTCATCTTACATATGCTGATCTCGTTTTCCAATATAGAACCTTTGAGGGTTAAATTGCACGGCTCTTTTTTGTCCTTCCCAGAATTGACTTCATTTTCAGGGTTTCAGGCTCCAACCATTCCCAAAACTTTCATTTTGGTCCTTCATTCTTGAAAAAAGTAACAAATTGGTTAAAGAAAGAAGATTAAACGAAAAGTAAAAAACAATTGCTTTACCATGGAGTTAGGGCACAATCTGAATTTTTTTCCTGGATTATCTTTAGTTCGTGAAGTTCGTACACGAGATGGTAACCCACAGTAACAAGGATTTTCAGGTTGAAATTCAGCATTTCGTTTGGAAGAAATAGAAGAAGAAGAAGAAGACATGTCGATCTAGGGCAAGAACGGGCAAGAACAATGCAGTACTGCAACTATGCAATTAATAAGCCCAGTTAATGGCACATAATGCCACGTAATATCCACATAAGTAGTAACCTACAACAACCAGTATCAAGGGTTTTGGTGAGCAGGGATTATAAGTTAAATGGTATAATAAAGACAAAAAAAGATAAGGGACCTAATGAATACAAGACGAATACTTTATTACCCTCAAAGGTCATTTTCCCATAAGTTTATAAACAACCTTTTAAAAAGCTATTTGAGATAGTTTATCATGGGTTTATCCACAAAATTTTCAAACATATCCTTATATGCTTATTTCTATAAATTTTGTAAATGGTCTTTTTATGTCATTTTACACTTGTCATCTAGCTTATCGATTACTTTTACTAAAGGTTATTTTTTTATCAGTTACCAGCTAGTTTGTGAAACATAACCTTAAAATGTCTAAATCTTTTTATTTTATTACTCTTTTAGCGGTTAATGTGATAAATTATTTGGTTTGCGGGTTATTCCAAGATAATAATTGTTTGGTTTGTAATACAAAACCTAATAAATCTTACAAAAAGATTTTAAAAGCGAAATTTTCAAAATTAAAGATTTTTTTTATTAGATAAAAGATACCAATGTTTGGTTTTGGGTATAGGTGGAACCAAAGGGGTTTGAGATTTTGGCAAATTGACAAAGAGAGTATATAATGGAAGACATACTCATACAATTGAAGAAAGAGATTGCAGCTGCTCATAATCGTAAACTTGTTCGGCCACCCAAAGTTACCTTCTAGTTGTTGTTCAAGGAGGAATTATAAAAATCATGTATGCGATGAATAATATTAGCACATATCAAATGGTACTAAATGATGTGAACGTCAACAAAATGTTTGATTAATGGGATTGTTGTTTGTGTCAAATGTTTAAATAATATGAATCCCTTCTTTCGGTTTTTCCATTAATTGGAAGATGTTTGAATGTTATTGTTAGGCAATTGTGAAATTATTATTTTTCTAGTAACAACTGAATTTGTCCCTGCCATTTTGTTGTAAAAATATTATGTGAGAGGTAAAGCATACCTAGGCCGGCCCATACGATAAGCAACTAGGCAACCCCTGAGGGCCCATGTCCCTAGAGAGCCCAAAAATTATGGGTGTTTAGTGTATATACATAAAGTTTTTATTTATCTGTTTTTTTAAAGGCCCAAAAATTATCCAAAACTCAAATTAGTCCAAATAATTAAACAAAATGGCCTGCTTACTAGGTGAATGCGTTGACGTTTTTGATTTGGGAAGAATATGAGCAAACGAACGAAAGAAACATGAATTGGTCAATTGTATATGAATCTATAGTCCAATTGACATCCTTGATGACTTAATCATCTCTTGATTAGGCGGGACTCGGGATTTGAAATCACCGCCTCGTTGATTAAGAATCAACTGAATTGTTTGTTAGCATCTATGTTGCTTTCCCTCTTGATGTTTTGAATCGTCTGTTCATCACCTGTACTCTCTCTTACTCCTCTTACATTCACAATCGTCAATCGATTTCCCCTTTGATTCTAAGTTTGATTTCTCAGACTCTCAAATTCTTCTTCTGCTTCATTCTCAAAGTCTCGATTCTCTATGTTGATGAATAATTACGACTTGCGAGGTATCAGATAAGAAGGTATGATTTCTAAATTTGAAATCTTATAGGTTTTTCTGTTATATATATATATATATATATATATATATATATATATATATATATATATATATATATATATATATATATATATATATATATATTTTTTGAATTTTTCTTCTCATTATAGGTTATATCATATTATTAGTTTCCAAAATCTTATATCTTTGTTTGTATATCAAACATCTGAAGACGAATTATTTTGAAATTTGTGAAAATCAATGCTCAAGTTTGTTGGTGATTTTATCACCAAATATATTTTAGTATAATGGATTTAAAAAGTGTTTCAAAAATAATGTTTTAGTTATAATACAAATTAAGAGGTGTGGGAGTGCACACTTGTATTTACTAAACATTGTTAGTACTGAACCCTAATCTACAATACAAGGATTAATCTGTCATTCTTGATAAATGCAAATTCAAGGACTAATCTGTTTTTTCTGAAAGTTGTAAACTGTTTTGGTTTATCCGTTGAGTGGATAAATCCGGAAAAATAACAACTCTTTTAAAATACAGAAAACTGGAAACGTTTTCTTCTTCATCTTATTCTCAAAATTAATTCTGATTTTGTGCTTAAAACTAGAATTGTTACATCATGAATTATCTCAGTTTAGATTTCGTGATACCCAAGACATATAGGATCGAAATATCAAACAAGAAAAGTGTTAACACGATTCCTGTTCGTGATCCAGATTTCCAATAACCTTATTTCGTTTTTCCCCAACAAAGTTTCAGAAGTTTCATTCAGTTATTGTAGATGGTCGTATGTAATTTTATAACCAGAAGTTCCAAATTTTATAATGTTTTACTTGCGACTTGATTCATTCGGAATTTCAACTTCATTGTATTAGATATCCGACTTGATAATGTAATATTGTAATATGAAGTGTTGGTTATTAGAACTTTGATTTTATTTTAGTTATCATTTTTTGTTTTTATGTTACGGATTTTATTTTAAAGCTTGCTTTGATATTTAGATTCAACAAATATGAGACAAAAATTAGGTGGATTCTTTTATTAAAGTAGTTTTTAATTTTTAATTATTATCGATCATAAAATGTTTCTCATCTAGAAGTGAAAACGAAAGATAGGAATAATTGTTGTTGATTTTTAGGAAGAAGATAAATATCTAACAATAAACGTTTTTATCGTATATAACCATCATATTAACCATTGTTGTTATTGTTGCATTTGTAGCGATAAGTTTTTTTTAAGCTGAAGTTATAAAGAATTATCTAAGATCATCAATGTAACAAGAAACGTAGAATGGATTAGAAATATTATATATAGAAAAAATATATGTTAGATAAAATTAATATTGATAGTATTATCCTTGATATGGCACCTAAAAATGCTAGGAGAAATATATATATATATATATATATATATATATATATATATATATATATATATATATATATATATATATATATAATTTGTTGTTTTTTCTAAATATTTTAGTTATTTTTGTGTTTTTTATAATATTATTAATGCTTTTTATAAATGATGTATTTTTTTTTTAATATTTTTATATTTGATTTTGATGTCCTGTTTTCTCTTCTAGCTTTGGGTCCAATATATATGTGGACCGGCCATATTCATACTAAGTGAAATTAGACGTCCATGTGGAGAAAGTTAGAGATTTGTAAAACCTAATTTCATAAAGACAAAATTGCAAGAATGGTCCCTGTGGTATGTTAAAACTAGGTCCAAAATGGGTTTGGCTTACAGGGATGGTCCAATAGTTTCGTTTTGTTGCGAGTTTAGTCCAAAAATTATAAAACTTTTTATAATGACGGATTTGCCCTTGGTATTTTCCATTTTTTAAATTTTTTATTACAGAAATAAATAAAAAAACAAAAATCTCTCTCTCTCTCTCTCTCTCTCTCTATATATATATATATATATATATATATATATATATATATATATATATATATATATATATATTATGATAA